TAGTACAAACTTCATTCACTGTGCAAACAATAGTCGGTTGTGCAGCACCGCCAAAGTTGATTTTCACAGAAAAATTTTTGCTAAAAAATATTGCAAGAAATTTATAGTCACTCATTCTTCACAAGTGTTCTCAAAAAATGAAAAGGTCCTTTTTTGCTGTTTTTTGAATTTTCTCGCTACCGAAAAGAATAACAGCTCCCGGTTTTTTGCTATCATGTGCCCCATGTCTATTCTTTCTGCTCACGGTGAAAGCTCCGCAATTGCTTCGCTTTTGAGATTTTTACACGCCGCAGAATGATAGCAGCGGTTGAAATAAAATTTCTCAGTCTGGAAACTTTCGAGAAATTTGCTTCAGTGTGCATTTTGTAGCACAGATCACATACAAACATGATGCCAGTTTGCAAAAAAATCCGATTTTTCGTAGTGAATCCAGAGCAAAGAGTGTAAAAGGAAAAATTTTCAAGCTTTAGACTCTTGATTTTAAAAGCACGTAATTCCGAAATGAACCCAGTTCTCCTGAAATGAAGGCGTGCCTAAGAAACTAGAAGAAGAGTGCTTTCAGAAGGTATGCATAGTTTCCTAAGACGATGGAATTTTGTTTTGAACCAATACTTTGAAAAAGAGGTGTGAAAAACCTGCATTAATTCTGTTACAACCTAATATAAGAGTATTTAACTTGTTGGGTTTTGTTCCGAGGCAGAATATGGCCTCCATTAGCCTAAAATCCTTGTCGAAGTTCCTACCATAATCCTACAGTAATGAAAAACAGTCGACGATTCGCTCCATACTGTAAATCTAAGCTAAACCTCGCTCTATAGAATGGTGCCTCAAGCTCGGCGAAAGACATGAAAGCAAAGGAGTTATTAACAATCAAACAGTGTTCACATTTTTTTGGGACACCCTGAATTCTGAAGAGAAGGGTTTCATAGCTCTCCTTGGTCTAACCATAATGCATATTATGGTTATCAATAACTCAAATGCTTACCTAACCACATTTTGCCAAAGAGCTCATAATCGTATTATCTCAATGATTTGTCGGAATTTTGCGACATTTTAATCTCGTCATTTGTTCTCATTGTCTTGATGAAAACGGTACGTGCCATAGTATTTTAGAGTGACTGCGATAACTATAGTAATAAAAGGAACTCATTTCCGGGGCAACAGTAATCATTTTAGTCATCTTCATACGTTTTTTGAGATCAATAAATAAGCCATGCATACTATTTTTTGAAGTAAATTACTCGGTCATTGCAAGTTCAACTGGAAATAATTTTTTACGCCACAGCTATGGCACTCAACAGCTGACGTTTTCATAAAAGCTGGCCAAGCATGTGATCTTTTCGCTTTCTTTTGTATTATCATAAAGTTAAGAATGCCCGTTTACGAAGAGTACGATGGCACTTATAGATAACCTTACCTCTTCAAAACATTCGCTATAGTCATGATGCTGCTCTGGCAAAAGTCCTGACTCCACTCAAACGCTTTACAATTGTCGCGATGAATAGAAATGTGTGATTAATCATGTAAAGATCATAAAAGTACAAAGAAGTAAGACTGAGTTCGATGATTTTGAACTAAGTGAGAGGGACCCCTCTGAAATTACGAGCACTTCTTCGAGCAGCACTTCCGTTTCCCGTTTTTTTGAAATGCTTCTTACAAACGAGAAAACTTTTTTGCAGGAAGTTTTGTACACCAGCTGAAAGCTCTTTCTTTCCGATTTCTTACGTAGCTTGAAATACAAGAGATACTGTTCTCAAAATTTCGTCAAAAATACAACTCCGAATTGATTTTTATATGTGAGGAATGTAGAGTTAGGACTGTTTCTAATGGAAAAAAGGAAAATTGTTTCGCTTTTCGGCGCTGAAGAAAGGGAGAACAAATAAGATGGCGCACCGTTCCGCCTTTCTATTAGGTCATCCCAAAAGTTTTTTCATATCAGACTTTTCACCAGCATAAGTCTGCTCTTCTTAGACTTCTGATGAGGAGCGGAGTACCATTCGAAAGAGTAAAGCAGTTCTACAATATGACTCTCAAAGGTTCGTACCAGGCTTGATCCGCATCGAGTTTCAAGACAAAATGGAAAAAAATCCAAAATTCCGAAAAAACAAAAAAAATTGTATCTTAGTTTAAAAACATTCAAAGCAACAACAAAGCAAAGTTCCCACTTGCTCACGCATATTTCCCCATCACATTTATATATACACTTGCTGCATTTTTCTGACGGATAGAAATCGAGAAAAAAATAAAGCGCTTAATTTTTAAACTTTGCCTGCAATGAGTCTATGTTCCTCGCAAATGTGTATATAGCTTATTCCCTCAAGAATACACCCACAAATTTGCACCCTTCTAGATGCCTTAGTTTTGGAGAAATATCTTTTGAAGGTACGAATATGAAAAGCTTTTGGGATGACCTAATAAGTATGCTGAAAAACTGTTTACTCTCAAACTTTGAGAGTATCTTTGACAACGAACACACTGGGATTTAGACAGTTCTGCTACAATACACATTATTACAATCTTCAAAAATTTTCGAACTAAAAAATTTCAAAGCAAATTTGCATGACTATCTGCAGTAAATTAGCGACATAAAAAATCTTTGTTCGCAAGCTACTAAATAATTTTTGCTATATCGTTTCACCGGATAATTACTATGATTTGAGAATGAAGTAGTGCTAATGGGCTAGCTTGCATGGATATTGAATCCAGTAATATTCTGTAGCATACAGCCAAAGACTACGCTGCAGAAATACCTACAAGATCCGAATAGATCCAACTCAAATGTATGGAACTTGATTTCCTACCCCTGGAAGACCTCAACGTCTTGATCGCTACAAAATTATCCATATTTTTTAGGGAGGAACCAGGGTTGACCGTGAGGTCAGGCGCGCCCGACCTGGAGGTATTGGTGGTAAGACTGAGGGGGGGTCGTAATCAAGAATCGAACTCGCTCAACTAAGGAAATACTACGATATAGTAAGGTGAAGAAGAAAAGCTCTAGACCGATGCATATCACAACTCCAATAGAAATGAAAGAATGACTGTCGTGACCTGCATATTGATTGACTCCATCGAAGTTTTAGCCAAATTTCTCCAGCCCTTACTTGACACTACTAAGGTCAACAAAGAAGCGTGTAAATTGAGTATAGTTTCCGTATTTAGCACATAAAATCACTTCTACTAACACTACCGACCAATACCTGTTACATTTTCTAGCGTTTTCTATCGCCTAAAAAGCCTGAAATTCACACATGATTAACTTGGTTACAAAAGTGAAAGAAGTCAGCGTTTCTATACTCATAACAAAGTGATGTTCCCTATCAGTCTATACTAGAAATTGAAATTCTTATCGCTTTCAAATAGTGGATTAGGAAGTACTGCCAACATTCCAAACATCGCGTTTTTCACCTTGAGCGCGTCAACTTCACGGATTACCACAGAGCCGAAACAAGTAGCTAAGTTCGAACACCTATTGTAGAATGTTCGAGGTTTGTGCTAGCAAATTACATAAAACTTGGATGAAAAAGCGTCTTCGGGGATGAAGTTAATGGGGTCGGGCGCAACCCCTCAAAAGGTCAGGCCGCCTGAGCTTTTGTAGCCTTGCGCCTGACCGACTTAACTTGTCTTCAGAATTCAGTAATCAGTCCATTCCTGGTATGAGTATTGAGCTCATAGCCTCTTCTCGCCTCAGTGAAAATTTGGAGCAAAACACTCTAACCCTGGGGAAATTCATGTCTCGTTCAGTAGGGCGATTCACATCAAAATCCGCCGTCAAATTGCGTGTACTTGTAATGTGCAATCACAGAAAAGCGAGCATACAATCCTAAAATTCAAAAACTCTGCAGAACAGACTCGTCTTCTCCAGAGTTTCACACTCTGATGTTCCGGAGGTGGAGAGGATTAACAGGAGGTCGTTTGGGAGCTTTTCTGGAAGGGGGGAGTCGTTCGCGAACGACTTATACCTGACCTTTTGCTCAACTCTGGGAGGAACCTCGATCCTGAGACCTTCAGTTTTCAAAGTCTCTGTGCCAGCAACGAACAACAATCAATGAAAAGACCTACGCAAAAAGCCAAAACATATGCCATCTCAGTTCTATTTGTGGTCAATCATTGTAATTCTTCTGGTTTTCATGAGAATACTTGCAACAACTTCCAAGAGCTGACCCTTTTTAGGCAAAAGAATTTTGGCCCTTAAAAACAAGCATTTCAATTGTAAGCTGGAGCGCAGCTCTTCGAAAAGGTTTCTGATGCTCCACTCCTCCTCCTCCTCCTCCTCCACACCATCTTCAGAAGTTTTTGTATATCGAATCTACGTAGAAGCATGGCGACAACTCGCTTTGGGTGATTTGAACTTGCAAAAACTCCATTCGCCTAGCACTATCTCAAGCAAAGTCGACTTTTGCGAGTCGTTCTGGTCGGATCAAAGATAACTTATAACTGGTTCCAGAGTGGTAAATATAATGCATGGGATCGTGATACAAATCTATAAGCCTTATCTTGTTCTTTAGCAACACTTACACCGATTTTTAGAGATAAAGCCTCACGTCTCACTGTACTTCAATCCCTCGTTTGGAGCAAAAATTCATCTCGGGGGAGAGGGGAGGCTGATGCAAAATCAGGGCATGTGAACATGTAGTTTCTGACGTCCACATCATCGTCAAAGAAGCTCCTACAAATTCTGATTTGTCGTTTTTGGCAATTTTTAGTCGTTTTTGCTTTATGGTTATTCTTTCCGTCTTTTATAAGTCCTAAGATTTCTTTATAGAATGCTCATTTTGCCACAGCCATAATAAATTGAAATCTACCACAAAAGTGCCTTGCGCGTGATGGTGGCAGTGAAATCAATCTTTTGTTTTTCAACCATTTTTGTTTCTGGACTGGTTATATGTGACAATCAGGTTGCTCGTTCCACAACAAAATTATCTTGGCATTCTTTCGCTGCGAATTAGTTTCGATTTCTAAGAGAATTAGCGTTTGAAATCAGTTGACTGTCCAGTTTTTTTATAGGGTCCATCAAACCCGTTGAGATCATCATACCTGGAAGATTCGATGGTTTCCTTATCAGCAGCACCTGTTCTGGGTGCAGCGGCTATCTGATATGAAAGATAGCGATCGATAACTCATCTGTTTCCGTCAGATTCATGGATGGAACCTATGTCGACTCGTCTTATCTCCACAAAATCAAGGTAAGCCCTCCCGGCTCTGGCATCGTCTGCTCTAGCTTTCGTAGCAGGTTATCTTCCTCGGCGCAGCCGGAGTGGGCAAAACGGCCATAATCACAAGATTTGTGGATAACTATTGGGTGGACCGAGCCATACCTACTATTGGTAAACTACTTCTCTTTTCTGCTAGTGTAGATCAAAGCAAGTTTGCTAGGGGTCGACTTCACAGGCCGAACAATAAATGTGGATGGGAGACCAGTGAGGATACAGATATGGGACACAGCTGGACAAGAAGTTTGTTTGCTTTTGATAAGATTTAATCTGCTTTTGTCCTTGTCAAAAGGAATTTATCTACTGATTTGCCATAATTTTTGCAGAGATCAGTTCCTTCTGTCTATGCTAAACATTGCTTTCAGCGATTCCACAGCCTGATACCTTCTTACTTGCGCGAAGCACGCGGGGCAATCGTAGTCTACGACGTGACAAAAAGGGAGTCATTCGATGAGGTAGGATTTTTATTTTGAAGCAGTAAAAAATCATGACTAGTGTAATAGATCATTGGATCACATTTGGAGCTAAATTCTTTCAAAATTATTTGGAACAAAAACTAGACTTCGAAGAGAGGTTTGAACATCGCATATTCGGTCGATAGATTTTATATTTTTTTCTTAAAAGCTGTGTCATCCACTTTTCTCAGCATTATAGATGCCAATTTCAAAATATTGGTTCTTGTACATACCAGTTTCACCACTATCTAGAATTTCGTAGTGGGGATTATCGAATACTAGTTCAACTAAGAAGTTTCAGGTCCACTATACTTCATTTTCTTCCTGAAGCCGCCGTAATCTTTGCGCCTTAATTTATTCCGATAGAAGTTGTGATAAGAACAGCACTAATCGATATCAGATGTTTACATATTCCCTTGTTAATGTTGGTTTTCGAAGAAAAACTGTGAGTCGGAAAATTGAGATTTTTCAAAAAAAAAAAACGGGCTTGCTCGACTTGTCCATCTGATTGTTTGTGTGTTAGGGTTTTGAAAAGTAGTGCAACTTGTGCTGTATGGCGTTGAGTGAGATATATTCATCTGAATATGCCGGACGAATTTGGTTCAAGTGCGAGACTCACCAAAGGAAGAATTTTGATACGTTATATCCCTTACCTTGGGTATTTAGGTAATCTGTTATTTGAAGTTTTCCCGTTTTTGGAGTAAGTTTCAAACGATTTACTTCGAGACTATTTCGGCAAAAATGACCAAGCTAAAACCACGCTCAAGGAAACGGATCAAATGAACTAGCATAAAAAAGTTCTCCAGCTTTTACTACGAAAGAATTTCATCATTTAGACTGCTTTTTCACTTTTTGAGTGGCGCTGTTATAGGTACAACGGTGGGTATCGGAAGTCAGGAAATACCGCGACGACGAAGTAGAAGTGTTGATAGTGGGCAATAAGACAGACCGCGATGGACGAGAGGTAAGCTTTACTTGGTCTTGAAGATTGTCGAGTTTTTGAAACTTCCTTGGCAGACAGGTGAATCTGTCATTTAGCTAGAAACAAGCTCCTTTATTTTGATTGAAACGGCAAGAGATAAAAGAGTTTTTGTACATATTCCTATGTATTTCAGTCTTCAAAGCTATTTCCTTAATTGGAAAGTTTCGAAAATATTTGTTATTACTTATTAACTACTTTACCATTGCTTCATTGACTTTCTTGTTATCTTGACTTCTTTCACTTTTTTGCTTTCTCAACAATGTTGCGTAAGCGTCATTTTTTAAAAACACTAAAGTGTACAGATAGTCGCCATGTCTACATTTTCCTTTGCTCAGCTACAGCCACCCAGTCATTCTCGACTCTTAGACAGGTTTGTAATGAAATAGGCGCTTATCATCGCTTTATGACTAAAAGTTGAATGAGAGCAGAAGAGCAACAAGAGAAATATTAGGAAATCAGCATTTTGCCAGGTTAGAACGTTCCATTCTATCCCATAAAATAAGAAAATTGGAGATTGTTATATAAGCTTTTTAATAAGCTTAGAGTAAGACAAATCGCACAGATTTGGGTTTTTGCAAAAGCTGGCATTAACTTTCACTATGAGGAAAGAAAAAGATTCGGAAAAAAGAAGATGAGTCAGTTCTTGATAATGTTTTCAATCCTCACTTCTATATGTTGCACAGATGCATCGAGAAGTTGGAGACCCGCCAAATTTGCAAAAACTTCTGTTCTCTCCTAATCTCGTAGCTAACTATATTCTACATTCTTTCAATTTCTCAGTTCAATATCATGTTTATTTGTTTCTTATTGAATTGTTTCAACCGATTGTAAGCGTTTTCAACATTTTGAAAACTACCAATCCAATTTGAAATTTGCAGTAGGTAGTATATTTCATTCTATACTATTCAACAGTAGTGCACTTTTTCGTTGTCGAAGTACAATTTTGCTATCTTGGCCATAAAGGTCTTCAAGGCGACAGTCATTTATCTACGGTCATATGGGCGCGCTATGATCACATGCACAAACCTTTTTTGTACTGTAATGGTTTCGTAGAAAAATTATTGTATCTCTTCTCATGATAAGCGAAGAACGTGCCGTTGATGTCTGTTCAAGTTTGCCTTCCATAATTGGTAAGGTTAATCATATTTAGCTGCACATAACGGGATTAAAGCAAAGATAATTTTTTGGAAGTCAGAATTTCAGTCATAGAGCGAAACACCTTTAATTTTAGGAAGGAAAGTACCGTTGATCGGGCAATCGTTGCGAGGTTTCACAAATAGATGATGAATCAATTTTATTTCCAGTATTTAAAAGCTATAAGACAATTTAGTAAACATGAGTAATCATGAATCTTAGTCAGTTTTTCCTTTTCCTGCTGACTCAAAAAATTTTTAAATTTCATCGTCTCTTAAAAATCACAAGATGATCTGTAGCGGAAAATTTTCTTCTTTCGATGGTATTCTAGCAGGAAATGGATCTTCCGAAATTAACATTGAATTTTCTTTTCCCTACATTGAATATAGACTATTGTTCCCAAGCGAGTCAAGAAATTTTCAACGTTGCGATAAATCCGAAATTTGAGTAGTCAAATTCAAGGAGAGGTTCTAAAGCTGGAAACTTTGAAAGATAGTCAAATCGTACCACGTCCCCCTTTTCACAAACATTCAAATTCCTCAGTGAGAGAAAGCTATGAAGCGGAGAAAAAAAGGCAAAAGGAGCACTTTCGGAGTGTCTCTACAACTGGCTAAGCGCTGATAGAGCGCGATCTTTATTTTCCTTGTCATTGTAGACATGGAAGAGTTAAAAATGACTCTTCTATTTTCAAGATGCTGTAATCTTGTCTTGACAACCCACAGACTACGGGTTATCAGCAGCTGTCGAAACAGTTTCCTAGTATGACAAAAAGGTCATGTTTATCACTGTGAGCAGCATTTGTGTGAGTAATGCAGTCATAATTCTCTGACACTTCTTTCCTGTCATTGTACTGTCTTTCCGTCTAATCCGTGCTTCACAAAGATTATCTGTGACGCAGGAATTTTTGATAAAAATTATGACGTAATGAAAACAGCAGGCTAGCGAGAACAGCAGTTTTTGCTCAAGTCGATCAAATAGACTTTCAGAGAATGTGGGGATCATGACGGAGAGCCCACAACTACTACATTATTTATGACGTCATATAAAGGGTGGGGGGGGGGAAGCAGCATAGTCTTCAAAATCAAAAGAACTCTGACAACCTTCAGAACAACTCACTTTTGAAAGTGATAAAGTTTAGAGCTTGACGTTGAAGATATATGTGGGCTCTCCATTATAAGGAAGAGCCAAATTAGCACAAGAGCAAAAGAGATGTTCGCCGTAAAAGAAGCTTTCTTCAAGCCACATGGAACAAGTAATTTTCGATTAACCAATAGTCTTTTTCCAGGTGCCGCTCGAGGAAGCGCGAAGTTCTTATGCCGGATCGGGTCTAACAGTGATAGAAACTTCAGCAAGGACCGGATACAATGTAAAAATGGTATTCGAGACAATGGCAAGGAAGGTACAGGAATCGCCAACTGTAGTGGATGAGCCACTAAGGTAGAAAATTCCACAAAAAGGAAAAACCATTTTTAACTGAATATGTTTCAGTGAGTCGGTGTTACTGACCGCCGAGGAAGTTCCATTGGAACATGCGAACTGTTCTTGCTGAGACGATATCACACCTCATAAACAATGATCTCGTTCATTTCACCAGAGTGAATACTGTAATAGACAATGCCTGATAAACGATAGTTGCTCATGTTCGTGTGCTTCTGAAGACCACAAATTAAAATCATAGTCTACGAGAACGAATGAGCCTTACCTACCTCAATTCTCTGTTTGTCGATTCCTTATGGAACCAGGAGAAAGGGTTGGTAGAAAAACTCTGATGAATTCGGTAAATTCCAAAATAAACTTCTCAAACACAAACATGGGCACCTTTGATTCATAAGGGAATTCGAAGCCCAGCAATGATCAGCTGCTTCATTTAGTAAGCTCGTTCATGTGATAAATTAGTCTATTGGGGGTGGATAGGCGACGTTAGATCAAATGTGGTGAAGTGATTGAAAATCGATTCTCTATAGAGTTGGGTGAATGATTTCGTTTTTACATGCAAATGTGAAACGCTACTGGATTCAAAGGACTGGTGATAATTGAAAATTTTTGCGAAAGGAAATGTTGATTCTCCTCTATCACTCAAACCTGTTCAAAAACTTTTTTTTCGTAATTAAAGGAATATAGCTTCCTTCTAGAAACCCTTTTGTCTTAATGGTGGTAATAAAGCACAGGCTGGCTACAAATAAGTACCATACCGCGAACTTTGTAAAAGTGTCATTTGTTGGATTGCAGTAACTGTGAAAATTACCTGATATTGTAAGCGGACAGCATTTGAGCAATTCAGGTCACTTGAGTTTGATTATATTAGGTCGTCCCCGAAGTTCTTTCCGTTTCTTCAAGCTGTCCCAAAAACACGTGGAATAGAGATGGGCACACTATTCAAAAAATAATTGGTGCAGCTTTTCTTCACCTTTTCAAAAGTCATGCTGACAAATCATTTGCTTTTGTGGTCATCAAAATACTCGCCAAAATTCCAGACCTACGATTTTTGCCATACCAAAGTTTCGCATTATCCTAAAATTTTCGTTCTCAACTTCAGGAAGAGCTGTAATAACAGATGGATAGAGCAAACAAAGTACAATGCCATAAATTTTTCGACATCTCCAATTAGCTTTCCATTATTTTTAAGATGATTTTTCCAAAAGTGTCGACTTTTGCAATGTCGTGTGGTGCGCAAACGCATCAAACGCCGAGAAATCTTCGGAATTTGAGACTTTCAAAACTCGGTTCTCATTTACCTTTAAATTGACAAATCAAACGAGCTTTCACTGCCACGAAAAATCGAAATTTGAGCTTCCGCGTATGGCCATAGGCGAGTCCAAAAATTCAAGACTTTAATGATTTCACCTCCGAAGATTGTAAAAACCGGGAACAAAAACGCCTATCTGGAAGAAGAGAGAAAGCTGCATCGAATAAACCCGAGCTGCCCTTCACTTGATGTTCTATGAGGTTTGGCTGAATCAAATGTGGAATTTGATGGCATTAGAAAAATGAATTCGGTCACCTTGGAAAGCCAGCTAGAGATGCCAAAAAATCATAACGTTGCACTTTGTTTGCTCTATCTAGCTGCTAAGTAGATTTATCCAGAAGTTCAAAACGAAAAATGTGAAAAATTGCCAAACTTGGGCATGGTAAAAACCATGTGTTCAAAACCTCAGCAATTATCTTTGTAACCACGGAAGCAAATGGCGTCAAAACACAACTGCTAGAAAGAGTTTCCTAAACTGTTTTCTTCTCTTTATCCCACGCGGTTTTATGATGTTTCGGAAGAACGGAAAGAACTTACGGAGCGACTTACTATTTACTGTGAACGGTTGAAAATAACAAATCCATATGTGTGAACATGAATATGAAAAACAAATTGGACAGCATGTTACTCCTTTCATCTCAGACAACCGACCGGAACTTCCGCAGCGATTTCGCAGGGTTTCCGCAGGTGACCCGGCGGAAATCCTGCGAAAGCGCTGCGTCTCAGGGTGCAGGGTTTCCGCAGTACTTTGTTTGAAGTTCCGCAGCACTTTGCGGTTTTCGCATTTGATTCGCGAACCGTTCCTTCCATATCAAGCTTCCTTTCTGATAGTAGGTTTTCCTTTCCAATACTAGGTTTTCGCTTTTTCTAAGGCATTATTCCTTTGATGTGGAAATCGCTCTAGACTTTCTAGATGCCAAGAGACGTGGACAGCGAGATAGTTTTAATGAGAAAGGAAATGGCACATTGTATTATTTTATCCGGTACCATATAGAACCACAATAGGCCGAAGCTGATAATTGCAAATTAACAGATCAAGAAGTGTTCATAAATAAATATACATAAAATCACAGAAGCATTCGAGTATATATGCATAACCGAATAAGGTTGAAAAAATCGGCAGATATTCTAAAAAGCAATGTTATACTGATGGAAGAGTAAAGGATAATGATTTCCTAAGAATGATTTCCTCTCTCAGATGAATATAAACGCAAAGAGATCCATCGAGTCGAAAGGAAGTTATGATTCCTTGAAAAACTGGCGAGCGCACTTTTGGTTCCACTTGATTTGAATCTGAAATTTTTTGAAAATATTTCAATATTCACTAAGAGCTTGTAGATCACTTTGAAATTTCGGTGACCCATTCCCCCCCCCCTTTGTTCTGATATATTTCTAACCAACCACTTCTGCTTTGTTTATTAGGCTGGAAACTAAGTTTTGCAACTGGTTTCATAACTTCATTCTTTTTGGATATGGCGCATTCAAACTTTGGCATTATGTAGAAAGCAATGTGAACTAAAAGTGAGCACAAATTGTCTAAATTTTGAACACGAAACAGAAACCTTTCAGGCATTTTTCGAAAACTATTCCATGCGCAGTACTCCGGATTCGTCTGCAGATTATTGCTGGAGGTTGACTCCTTTGGCCCATTAAGAAAGAAACAAAATTTAGGGGCATATTGAGATTTGGCGTCCTAATAAAATTGAACGAGTCGTTGTACGCAAGAGCTGCTGGGGACGACCGTCAATGACTAAAGAGTCCGAAGCTCAAATTCCGCCGAGACTTTACATAGTAAGGTTATTTGATCTGCAAAACGCGAATATCACATTCATTTGTCGATTCAATGCCTTTTTCCTTGTTCAGGGTGAGACCCCATATCGTGAACCTACAAAAATCCTACAAAAAAGCCCTTATCACGCAATTTCACTATCGTTTTCATGATAGCATGTTGGATAACACTTCTATGCCAAGTTTCAGCCAAATCCGTCAAACATTGAATTTTTCCCCTTCATACCATGCACCTACCGTAACCCTCACTGCGACGTCAGAATTTGGCAGGACAGCAGCTGCGCTTGTAGCTTACTTAGTAACCAACGCAGTGGCAAAATTTGAGTGCGCCATGTTGAGTGAGAGGGAAGTTATGAGACCAGTTGCAAAACTTAGTTTCCAACCTAATATATCCAGTGCATATCTTCTACAAAGTGATAGTTTAAAATTACTTTCGTTATTATTTTAATTAGAGCACATAAAGCAAAGAAGTTCGACATACCTGGACAAGGGCGTTGTGCTTAACGAAGTCCCTCCGTTGAGTCCTTTTCCAGCACTCCAGCAGCTTGGTGATGGTTGTTCACACACCTGCACCGATGCCTAAAAGAATACTTACAGTTAGAATATGGATGAGTATAGGTTTTACGCCAACACTGAAGAAAGAAAGAAAAAAGAGAAAGATTAGAGAAGGAACGGAAGCGAAACAGTATGGAAGAAAAGAGTGCACTATGCGCTGTTGATGTTGCGTTCGCAATTTCGCAATCGCGAATGCTTGCGCTCTCAAAGTCCTGCGGAAACGCTGGCAGGTCAAAGTGCTGCGGAAACCTTACGAGCCCCACTGCACTTTCGCAGCGCTTTATGGAAGTGCTGCGGAAGTTTCGGTTTACGATGGCTGTGACGTCAATTTCCTGCGGAAACCTCGCATTTTGGAGCATGCACTTTCTCAATGGTTAAGGAAGTGCTGCGGAAATGCTGCAAGTTCTGCTTGTCCTGCGGAAGTTCCGGTGAATTGTCTGAGATATTGAACTCGCATTCGTTCTTTATGATATTTTTTGCAATTCTTATTTTTGTAGCACCCAAATCTTTCGCTGTTTAAAGCATATTTCAAAATTCGTGAAGAAGTATGGGTATTCCTTTTTTGCGATAATTCGTCATCATCCAAAACTATCTTTTCTTTACCATCTTCTCGTCCAAACAGTGGTGCCATACATTCGTTCTTAGGCACCTCTAGAAAGATTAAAGATGGCCAACACCATTTGAATAGTCCTTTTCGCCAGTTATTCGAGCAACTTGTCCTCTACGTACACGACTCCACTGCTGTTTGCGCGTTCCTGATAGCAGTGGATGGAAGCGATAACCGTTATCGCCTAAACAAACATATCTTCTACAATTTTGTCTTCATCGCTTCCGATTTAGCGCCTCTTACACTGTCAATTTTTATTTTCTAAATTGTCTTTTTCTTTCATCTGAAGATGAGGTTTCCGAGTGCAGGCTGTTTCGAGTTGCAGAGTTTCTCCACATGTAATGCAGATTTGTCTAAACACTACCACTGATCGAGGCAGTTGGATATTTCTAAGTATCTGATGTGTGCAAATTTCAATAATTTGCGAAATTCTGAGATGCTTGACAGACAAAGATAACTTCAAATACTTCTGTATATTCACAAAGCCTCATAAATTTCTTTTTCATGTGACCGCGAGAGAGTATCGAGGGCCCGGTACGAGGTGGCTTTCCGAAAATGCAATAAACGAAGTAAACTCCTGACTTTCGCAAAATTTTAGGAAGTATCCATCGATCTTTTTCCCAAACATCATCCGAATCAACTAAAAAACGAAACGACGAATAAATAACCTAAAGTGACTGGAATAGTTGGTGCTAACAACATGTGAGCTATTTGCTAACAAATCATAGAATTGACAATACTCACAGAAGGTCCGTTTGGTCGTAGTGGCCTTGCAAATGATTCCTATACCGCTTTGAATAGCCATGAACGCTGATTCGAAATCTGTTTTCATTATCCGCCAAGCGCCTCTGGACGCCGAGTTATGGGTGTTTCTTGGGATAAGAAATAAACGCAGAGACTAGATAGAATCAGCCGTTAAGGTCTTTTTAAAGCTCAGGTAGAGCGATGTTGAGTGAGTGTATTAGGCCCCGGGCAGACTTCATGCGATTTGATCGTCGCGACTGAATCGCGACGAGACAACTGTTACAACATCATCCCATGCCGATCAACTTGCATTCGGTTGTGATACTTTTCCAGCACGAAATTTTTGAATGTGAAATGAAAATGAATGGAAATCTTGGCGATTAGATCGCGACGATTAAGTCGCGTGAAGTCTGTCCGGGGCCTAAAACGGCCACTTCGACCAAACACCTCCCTTGTCAAAGAATTCGTCAACTAGTTTACCACGGTTTGTTGCAACAAGTGCAGTCGAACAGCATTCTAGTAATTAATTACGCAAATAGTGATAGTTTGCGATTCTAATTTACAGAACCTCTTCGCAACTCGAATGATGGTACTCTAAAGACAACTCACACAGACATATACCTTACTCTTTTACGCTCCATGCGCTCTCCATCTATGAGTTATTCGAGGCAAGAGTCTTTGTGAAATGCTGCTCAATTAATTCAGAAATGAGACCTTTGGCAGTGGTCCTCTTGACTCTGAGTGTTTTGCTCCTCATCTCAGTCGTTGATTGCAAAGCTCCCAAGGAAACAAAGAACAAGTGAGAAGTTCCCGCTGAATTTTATAGTCACCTGAAAATCTTGCAAATAGATCACCACAGATAAGTCCGCCTATTTTGAATTTTCAATTCAGAACATGTAATTTTATGCAACCGAAAATAAGGCCTGAGGCATGTAGAATCTTGAGGTCTTTAAAGTAACCTTTGAACGGTAGAAGATGCAAATCCGCCTATACGCAAAGTTCCAATGGTCAGCTTTGCTGTAAAGAGTCAAATTTTTAGCATTTTGATGAGCGGCATGCTATCTGCAAGATTTCAGTATTTCTATTACTATACGACATGATATTTTATTCACTTTACACTATTCTTCTAGAGATGGTAATCACGACAAACAGCAGAAAGGGAAAGCAGATGCTGTGAAATCGAAAGAAAAAGGGAAAAAGGTAACAGACGAGGATTCATGAGAAAGAAATAATCTTGCAAATTTATCTCCTTGGCTTGCATGCAATTTTGATTTAGAGCAAAAATATAGGTTTATGATAAAGCTCTCCAGCTTTGCGTACGACATGAATATTTTTGGAATGAAGTGAAAGTTCCTGCGTATTTGGAAGAAGAACGTCAATTTACAAAAAAATCCCCTTATCGCAGCACTTTTTCAGCAAAAAGTGTGATGTCCAAAAAACAGTCTTCTATTATATATGGGCACACTAGGTCTCTTTCTGGTCTAGAAATGCATTTCTGTATAGGAACAGCGGCAATAAGGGGCTTTTCTTGTAAAATGACATTTTTAACTAATGTTTTGTTTTTGCATTTTCATGTGAGATTGAAGCCTGTTACAGTAGAACAAATTTTCACAGATTTTTTGGGATTAGCTAGAGGCTCTTCGCAAACTCGTAGCTCAGAATTACAGGTTTTGCAATGCCATTCTCGAAAACCTCGTTCTGGTTACTAGCTTGTAGAAAGTAACGCTTCAACATCGCTCATGAGCGCAAACTCTCAATGAATTTTAAATTACTTATTGATAAACTTAGGTTTAGTGTGTTATTGATTTTTTTTTTGAATTACGCAAGAACTTCTGTACAACATGCACGATTCAAATAAAGCACTCGCAGGTCGACAAAGTCAAGAGCGTAAAATTCGCTGAATCAGAGAAGCAGGAAGAACCTCAATTGATTAAAGTGAGAGAAGTCCTTATCGAGGCTGGAGAAATCGTCGGAGCTCCACACAATGAAGTGAGTTCGAAATCGCAGCTATTCTTTTCTGCTGCTTTTATAGCAGCTCCGTCGGTAGATTTTGAACTTGCGTAAAGTGAGTTAAACATGTGTCACATTCATCAAAATCATTTCTTGTAATCCCATGTTTACGTTGTACAGCTGTCATCACTATACAACCAGAAGCTTTCTTACGAAAAATACTCCTACGTCAAACTTATTTCAGAATACTGGACATATTCATGTTGGCGAATCACTTGTTGACACTTTGAATCACCATCAACCAAAACCAATTGCCAAGCCGAAGTCGCTAAAGGTGCGAAATATCTTGATTTCGTAACGAGCGAGTTCCATCACTGAGTCAAGAAGATACGCTTACTGTTGACAAACTTTCAATTATTGAAACTGTCATAGCACTAAAGGCACCGTCCACCCAGAATGGGGTATTAAGATTTTGATGCCTAACAGAGCGCGGGTCCCCCAACCGTATACTTATCCAACCCGCGCTGGCAAAAGTTGCTTCCAAAGCGACAAAATTGCTTCAAAATTGGCTCGGATGACAGATTCGCCACGTTGGCTCCTCCCCTTTGAGTGGGCGTGACGTTCGTTCCGTCCATCCGTATGCGCCCAACCAACCACCGTTCCGAAGAAATCGCTCTGCGGGTTCTGAAAGCGGGAGTTTTTCGTGGTTTTCGCGGAATTCCGACTTGATATTCGTAATCAGGGGTAAGGCCCTGGAACGGCAAAAACAATGGAGGTCGAAATTTGGGTGGACGGTGCCTTTAAGGGGCTGTAGCTCATTAACATCATAAAAAATACTTTCTCATTTAATCATCAAAAGAACGAGACATAACTCCAATCTTAAAGCCTTCGAAAATGCAGAATTGAAGCATGTTTGATGTTTGAGTTTAGTGAACAAATATTTGAGAACTCTAATCATTGGCTAACGGGCTGCTGAAAATTTGAGATGGGGAAACAAGTATTCAGTAACAGCTCAGGTTGGCAATCGGATTTGACATAGAATACAGATTTGCCATAGTGCAAAGGCAGTGTCCGGGCAAAAATTCGATCTTGAGATTTTTTGCTTATCCCGGCCTATTCGCTACGCTGAATCCGAAAACGCACATTGGAGAGCGCGAAAACGGCGAAAAACAGCTCTGACATGGGAGGGAAATCAGCAGGTGGGCGGGGTCCTCCCCACTGTGAATTCACGATCCCAGCTTCCAGAGCGATCTTCTCGGTTCCGACTTCAAGTCATGCATTTGCACCTGACCGGGGGAGATCTCAAGGCGCTAGAGGAATTGGGAAGATCGCTCCAGAAGCTGGGACTGCGAAATTTACAGTGGGGAGGACCCCGCCACTTCCGATTTCCCTCCTGCGTTAGAGCCCTTTTTTGCCGTTTTCGCGCTCTCCGATGTGCATTTCCGGATTCAGCGTAGCGAATAGGCCCGAGTAAGCAAAAAATCTCAGGATCGAGTTTTTGTGCTTACTTGGGCCATTCGTTACGCTGAATCCGAAAATGCACATTGTAGAGCGCGAAAATGGCGAAAAACGGCTCTAACACAGGAGGGAAATAAGCAGGTGGGCGGGGTCCTCCCCACTGCGAATTCACGTTCCCGGCTTCCGGAGCGACTTCCTCGCTTCCGGTTTCAAGTCAATTATTCGCACTTGACCGGTAGCGATGTTAGGACGGCTAGCGGAATCGAGAATATCGCTCCGGGAGCTAGGAGCGTGAAATCGCACTGGGGAAAGCCCCGCCCACCTGCTGATTTCCCTCCTGTGTTAGAGCCCTTTTTCGCCGTTTTCGCGCTTTCCGATGTGGATTTTCGGATTCAGCATGGCGAGCAGGCCCGTATAAGCACAAAATCTCGAAATCGAGTTTTTGCCCGGACACTGCCTTTAACCCCCTTCCAAGCTATGCACTTTCGTTTCCAATTCATGTTTATCTATCCCAGGCCAAGTCCTGCACTTATACATATGGGTAACATGCCAAAATGATCTCTGAGAGACCTGGCTAATATCTCCAGAAATAATACTGAATTGCCTATTCTGTGGTAACTCAGATAGACACGACTTTATAACGACTCAGCTTCTGGAGAGATGCCTTGAAGTAAACTTTCTGATCTTGCGTAGATTAACTTTTCAAAGCAGCGTGCAGACAATATTCGTAGTTCACCAATTACTAAGTACGCCACAAGCCCCAGAAGTTAAGCATCTGCGTTGGTCCGGCCCTTTAATATGTTGCTGAAAAGGGAAAATAGTCCTGCAACCATCGGGGGTTTAACGCCCGCTCATTCAAGAATACAAGTTTGCGCTCAAAGAATTCTTTTGAAGCTATAAGAGAAGAATAAATTTGGTTGCACACTTTTGTTTTTTGTTCGGCGAAACGGACCCTGTCAGATCTTGGTGATGACAGGTATTAGACCCCCAAGTACACCATAGACCCAACCCCATCTTCCAGTTCATGCGCTAAGTCTTAAAACACGCTTAAAAAATCCAGTATCGACGCCCACTCGATGGAAGCGAGGGCAGCTGGTGAGCTTTCGAAGCGCGCCTCTAAAATATAGCGCAGGAATCGGAAGGTAGTTACATTCAGTGTCAATCACCTGCTCCTTTCTCCGTAAGCGCGATCTCCGCGCCAAGGCTTCGCGCGCGTATGGCTTTGGTTTTCGCATTCGCATTGGCCTTATCAATCGGAGGTCCTCAGGCAAAGCCCTCGCGTTGCGCATGCGTACTTCCTACGCGAAAGGGAATACGTAATTATCACATACTGTATGCGTTTACGATTTGGGACTCTACTACCCAACATTCCAAAATTTGACACGGGTTGAAACTGCAGAACCACTGACTTTGACTTGTTGTTTCAAAAAGCGTCGGGGAGCAACAACTGGAGGTGCAGGCTTTGAGAGCACCTCCAGCTGTTGCCGCTGTGGTTCAGGTCCCTTTTCTCCTGTTAAAGGCCACTGCAGGTCCGTTTTATTGTTAAGGATCACATTGAGGTTCCGAACCAACACAAATGCTTCACTTCTAAGGCATACATGTAGAATCACAGTAATTGGGAAAGCGTGATTTTGTCCACGCTGCCTTCAAGAGCATCACCATTTCTATTCGATGAGATATAGACACATGCATACTGCAAGAATATTCCAGGTGCTGAACGCCTATGAACAGTGCAAAATGGAGTGTAAGAGACAACGCGATAGTGTCCATGCACGCGAGGTTGGTATTCTTGAAATTATTTTTTCAACGATGGTGAACTGCTTTGCAGTACGTGGAACAGCTGAAGGCCGAGCTAGCCGCTGCCGAGGCTGCTTTGGCAGCCGAAATCGCTGCCGAAAATGCTGCAAACGCACCAGCTGTTGAGCATGCAGACACTACTGTCGACACATCTACACATTTTAGTTCGTAAAACCGTATGATTCACCAAAGTCCCATTTCTTCACGATCGCTCTCACTCACAGATAAAGGCACATCGGACATTGCTGTTTCATTTCTTCACACCATGACAACTAATCAATTTCTTTCAATAAATCTACAAGCGTAATATCAAGGCCCTTAAGACAAACATGAACCAGGCGTTCAATGCCGCCTTACTGGTGGAAAAACTATTGAGAACGAGCTGGCATCCACGGTTCCACCCCGTTCTGAAGCCAGTCCATCGTGCTTGATCTCTCATCTAGCGAAATTTACTCTTTTTGATTCCGACTCGTCTTGGGTTTGCTTCCTACCGTTCTTACCATATCTTGATGATCAGCAGATCAAAATGAGCTTCACCGCTCATCCTTCATGACTATGGGAAATGTACACAGGCACACAGACATTCAGATTTTCTGCTTTACCTAATATACTAGGTTGTTTCAAAAGTTCTGTCCGATTTGCGATTTTGTCATCTAAAATCTTACAACTTTTTTCAAAACCAATAATATTGAACAAATTAAATCTTGTTGAATTAAGCGAGTTTACGGCTATCACAAACACTGTATGCCACGTAAGGAAGGCAAGCGAGAGAGAAGAGAAAATTTGTTACGCAATAGGAGGCCTACTCTAGGCGCTATCGCGGGGGCTCGGCGTGGTGTCCAGGGGTTTCTTAAGTCCTTTATTGAAGCGATCCTCCAGGCGATTGGCGTCGGCGTCCTCCTCGGCTTGGTTCCTCGATTGATCGACCGCTCACCAGTTGACTCGAAGACAAAAAGTGATTTGAACCAAGCGGAGCCGCCTTATAAAGCGGCCGAGAAGATGTGCATGCCGCGCCAATCGCCTGGTCCCGCCACGACGGCGGGTGGGCATACGAAATCATGCCAAACACTAGGAAATTTGTATCAGAAACGAACCAAGCGAGATCATGACAACAATTGCAACATCAAAACAGCAAAATAAGATTAAGGAAAGAGTACGCGCTAAGAATAAAGCACCTTTAGACATTTCAGATCATTCATATGTGTGTTTTTTCTTCTTTCCTTTCCTTCACATGCCCGGGCGGCGGCGAGAGTCGTCCCGACTCTGAGGTTGCTGGCGTGGGGTGCGACCGTGGCCTTCGAACTGCTGGCGTCCGGGTGAGCGACGACTTCCACTACGTACGGGAGAGTGAGGGCGGCGATATGATGGTCCTTGTTCTGGGCTGGCTCGGCGACGACTGCTTCCTGGGGGTTAGGCGACTCACGGCGGTACGATGACCTGCTCCCGGGGCTGGCTGCTTTACGATCACTGGCGAGGTAGTCGTCTCTACGAAGGTGGCGTGGCGGACTACGACGACGGCTGCTGGAGCGTTCGCGGCGGCGTGGCGGGCTGGAATGACGGCTGCTGGTAGGCGGGGGATAGAACGTTATAGGCTGTTGGTGGCGCTGCCTCTGCGGATCTTCGATGACCCAGAAGTTGGGCATTCTCTCTTCCCTACGACGCTTTCTCGCACGAGCTTTTTCTCGCGCCCGCTGTTCCCTCAGCTGTGTTGATGCAAAGTTGAACACCGGGAGGCGAACGAGGTCGGCGAGTGTGATGCGCATTTTCTCCAGGTACAGCAACATCTGCTTGTCCGACAAGATTGAAGTGGAATTGCGACGGGGTGTGGTGCCCAAGCAGGCCGCGGGATGGGTGTAGGGGGCAGCGTCTAGTACGTCCGAGTAATGATCCCGTACCAGGGCCTCGAAGTTCCTTCGGGGGTCCGTCATGTAGCGCGTGAATTCTCTACACACTTCGCCCATTCTCCTCCATTCAGCCGCATTGGAATCCTCGTATGGAGACGGAAAGAAAGCAAGCGCCCCTCCATCAGCTAGATGTCTTTCCAAGCTTATTAGGAGCTGCCTCATGGGCCGGCTGTCGGGCATCGTCTGCGGCCAGATGATGATGATGCTTTTGGTGATCGCGTGGGTCAGCAGTTTCGTGGCGAGTGTTCCGAAATCCGTGTAGATGTAGATAGTGATATTGTCTTCATATCCGATTTCGGCGTTTACCCTTGCAAAGGCAACCGGCACTGCAATGAAGACATCTCTCTCGGTACTTCTCGCGGGGGTTGGAGGCTCCAGCTGTTCCAGCATCATTATAGCTTCCATGACAATTTCACTCAAATTGTACTGCACTGCCCACGGAAAAACTGCGGGATGTTCGTAGCGTATCCCCTTTGCGGCGGCGAGCCTCTCAGCGTATTGGGGGCAACGGCGGCGATGTCCATCCATGGCGAGCGCCAATCCATACGATGTGATGAACTGCGAGTTCTTCCTCCTCAATTCAGTCTCCTTTCTTTCGTCACCCCAGCATTGCTCCTCTGACACGGACGCGACGTTGGCAAGCTGGAACATATCTTCCACCTTCTTCGATCGTGCCATAGCGTGCGTCAAGCCAGGCAGTGCGACGTGGGCCATATGTCCGAAGAGGCCACATTCACATCGGAAACGAAGGTGAAGCGGGTCGTTTGCTTCGATCAGCGTCCTGAAAAAGTAAGTTGAGGCACTTATTACTGAATCAGATACGGGTTGCTTGCGCGGGCGTCCCCTTTTTCCCCTACTTTTCCTGGTCCTAAGGGGTTCATCGGATATTCCCCGGGGTAATTTCCTTAGCAAATCAAAAGGCACTCTAACTGGCTCTTTGTTCGCACCTATGAGTGTTATCAGCGCGCTATTGCTGCTAGTTTCCAACACCCGATAGGGCCCTTCCCAGGGATTGGCTAGCTTAGGGTTGCGTGATGATTGCCGCTCTCCCGGTATCTTCATATAGACTCGGTCGCCTATTTGCGGAGGAATAGGACGCGAGTCAACTCCTTTTTCGCGATCATACGAGGCTTTCATTTTCTCCCGCATTTTCTCATTCACTCCTCGGGCGTATTCACGGGCAATCTGTGTGCCAACTGCTAGTTCCTGCGCGTAACTGTCCAAGTCCACGGCGTATTTGCTGATTTCCGATCCAGTCACATCCCATGGAACGTGCGCGTCAAATCCATGCAATAGGAAGAAAGGCGATTCTCCTGTGGATTCGTGGACGGTAGTGTTATAAGCAAAAACGCAAGCTGGTAGGATTTTATCCCACTCTACCGCCACCTGCACTTTTTTTCGTAGCATTGCGATGATAGTCTGATTAAATCGCTCGGTAATGCCGTTCTCGCGCGGGTTATAGCCTTTGGTGAACACTTGTTCACATCCCATCAATTTCCTTAGCTCCTCCATTAGCTTATTTTCGAACTCTCCTCCTTGATCCGATAGGATACATTTTGGCTGGCGACCGCCTTCTGCCACCCAACGTTCGAAAAAGACTCGAGCTACGACCGTTGCGGATTTGGATGGAATGGCATAAGCCCCTGCGAATTTCGAGAAATGATCAACCACTGCCAGGATATAGCGGTTACCTTCTGTTGTGGGTCCCATTTCTAGTATATCCATCCCGACAATCTCGAATGGCTTACTAGTCACTATCGGTTTCAATGGGGGAACCATTGCGCGTTGCGTATTGTGGCACAAACATTCACGACATTCTTCCGACCATAGCCAGATGTCTCGTCGCATTGTTTCCCAAAAGTATCTTTTGCAGAGCTCACGCCTCACCTTCTTAGGGCCAAAGTGTCCTGCTAGTATTCCATAGTGCGCCTCATGAAAGATTTTCTTCCTCTCCGATGGAGGCACAACTTTGCGCAAATAGTCCTTGTCCACAAGCATTAGGTAGCCCTGATTCATTATAAAGTCAGCTACTCTGAAATTCACCGACGTTTCCGGAAACTCTACCTTACCGTCTACATCGCCCTTCTCCAGGCTTTCGATAATCCTTTTGTAAGCCGGTATTTCGCGTAGTTCTCTTGTCCATTGCGTTTCCTCAACCGCATAGGCTACGATAAGCTCATTCGGCATGGTGTCCGCCTTATCCGCGCGATGCACTTGTTCACACGCCGCTCCGCGACTCAGCGCGTCTGCACGTGATACCTTTTTTCGCAGCTTGTCAAGCCTTTTGATGCAAAGAAGATCGGGTGCAGCAACCCGTCATCCCCTTCCTGGCTAAGGACTGCGCCCAAGCCTTGTTGACTAGCGTCTGTATGGATCTTGAAGGGTTTCGTCCCACTTCGCGCGCCTTCGATATCCGGTTGAGCGAGGACTGGAGCTTCGGTGATGATCTTTTTCAGTTTTTCGAAGCTTGCTCTAGTCTCTGTGGTCCATTCGAACTTTTTCTTCTCCGAGGTTAGCTCATGCAGGGGGCCCGCTACTTTAGAAAAGCCAAGCACGAATTTTCTATAGTATGAGCACATCCCAAGGAAGGTCCGGAGGTTTGAACGCGACTGCGGTAAGGGGTATTTTTGAATCGCCTCTATCTTAGCCGGGTCCATATGTAAGCCATCTTGATCTATGATGTGACCAAGAAACTCCACCTTCCTCTCAAACAAAACGCATTTCCTCGGGTTTAGTTTGAGTCCTGCCTCTTCTAGCTTTTCGAGGACTCTTTCGAGCATGACCACTTGCCTCTCAGCTGAATCTGCAGCAACAATAATATCATCCAGATAGCAAAACACCTCTCCGCTCTCCAAAAGAGCACCCAAGACGTTATGCATTAGCCTCTGGAAAACTGGAGGAGACGCCGATAATCCAAATGGCAACACCCGGAACTGAAAGAGACCTTCCGTGGTGGCAAAAGCGGATTTTTGTTTAGCGTCTTCGGAGAGACTTATCTGCCAGTAGCCAGAAGACAGATCAAGAGTCGAAAAGAATGACTTCCCCTTTAAACTCTGTAAGATGGAATCGATCGACGGCAGCGGGTAGCTATCCACTCTGGTGACCTTATTCACTTTGCGGTAGTCTACGCATAGCCTGAGTGATCCATCCTTCTTATGGACAAGCACGATTGGTGAAGCCCAGCTCGACTTACTCGGCTCGATCACTTTTCTAGCTTGGAGATCGTTCAAAATGCGACGAAGCTCGACTCGAGTTGCGAGTGGCACTGGTCGCGGTTTTTGCCGTATTGGTGTCGCATCTCCAGTTTCTATATCATGTTCCACCAGATCTGTTTGCGACAACTCTTGG